AACTGATAATTCGCTGATGGATTTTCTTTACCTGTATGATATTTTTAATACATCAAATCAATAAGTGAGCAGAAACTGCGATAGGATCCCGGTAGAAAATTTGCATAAGTTACCCGGTTGAATTATCGCAAGAGCCAACGCATTGCTTTCCTCTAATTCTGCAACTTTTCGATCCAATTGGTTCAAACCCTTCATAAAAAAAAACAGCATAAAACAAGCAATTATGAGAGTCCTCTTCGATGATCGCTACAATTGATTTCAACCGCAAAAGGAACTGAAGCAACAAAAGCTTACCAGCAAATCAACAGGCTCTTCCGTTGATTTCAGCGGTGGAGTTTCTTCTAATTTTTCAGGCTGAGGTTCCTCTTGTGCTTCAACCTGTTCTTCTTTGCCATTTTCAGCTGCTTCAACTTGCTCTTCCTTTTCTTCAGGGACAGGTTCTTTAGGTGTTTCAGGTTCTTGCTCCGTTTCTCTATACTCCTATCAGACAACAATGACAAACTCCATTGAGGCCACCAGTACACAGCTACAAGCTAGATTTCAGCCTTATTGACTAAGAGAATAACAATGAAGGAAAAATGTTTGTAGTAGATATTGACTGATGTTTTCAGCTGCAAACTTTTCTTTTACCGGTCTTATGTGTCAGTCTTACTCCATATTCTTCCAACTTTATTTTTTTCCCAAATTTCCTCTTCCACTCTAAAGATGTCATACAAAAGCTCTCCTTGAAGTCCTTAATATGAAAGATGAATGAATCAGAATAGCTTGATTTTTTGCAGGGATTTGTTTGGGAATTTTGAGGGTTGATTTTGATCTAGGGAGGGGCCTTAAAAATGGCTGCTTCTCTTATATGAAACTAGTCTATACAGTGGCCTCAATCTCAATTCTCTAAAAGCTTAGGACTCTCTCTCTCTCTCTTTTGCTTTTACCTACTAAACTCCTCTGAACCATTTGAGCAAAGGTTCAAAGATCAATACCAACACAGAAAGCATTGGCAAAGTCATACTAGTATAAGCTTTTGAATATCTTAACCTGTGATCAAAAAGGAAAAAACAATGTTGTCCTAAAAATAGAATGTTGATAGCTCAAAAGTGTACTTCTCACCAGCCTCCTACTTGACATGGAACCTATCTGTGGTGCTTCTCGTATGTATTCCTCCATAGTTGCCAGAAAGGAAACAGGTGGCTGCAATATTACCATATATAAAAGAGGCAAATTTAAAAACAACTTGATCGCGCAACCTTCAAAAGAAATTGTTTTTCAAGTTTTAATTAAAATGAAGAGACCTGTTTCAAAATGGGAAACTGAAATGTCCGAGCAAGATCCAGCCCTCTGCAGAAGTCATAAAAATGAGCTAGACTTTCAGCCTACATTAAGGAAGGAAATGGAAGAAAAATAACTTTTGATTAGCCATCACATATATTCATTCATATTGGAGGCATTTTTACTACATTCTTACGCATTTAGAGATCCTATAGAAATGAAGTTATAGACCTGTTTCCCCGCTCTTTTATATATGTTGAGAGCTTTTATGGCATCATGCTTGGACATTTCAAAAAACTGCATAAATATGAGATAGCGACCAATTAATGTTCCAATGAGATAAGATATTAGCTGGATCGAAGTTTAAAGAGGCAAAGAAGATCTCACAAAATCAACAAGGTTAATAATCCCGTCGTTGATTGCACAATAGATCTTGAAGCTCTCCTTCAAAACCTGCATTGAGTACAACCGGGGCTAGCTATTATGTTGACTTATTTAACATTCTATGGTGCAGTGACAATTTGAATAATACTACCATCCTTACTATTGTCAGTGCACTTTTAGTGTTAACTAAGGACTGTCTTCTGTTTAGAAACTTTGGTTCTATTAATGAGTAAGGCATAATATGTAGTTTCTTAATTCATAAAGGTATACAAACTAATAATCAGAAACAAAAAATCCATTTCTTAGTGGGTAAAAGTTGTATCCCGCATACCAGTGCTAAGGCATACTGAATAAGAAAATTGTAACAGGCTCCTCCTTCAGGCTGCCAAATTTACAAGGGATATCAAAATATCAGATGACAGTATAAATGGAAAAAAAAAATGAAGTCATCATAGTTTCCTGAACAACCAAGTGACTTAATATACAGCATTAGGCCATTCTCACCTGGCAACAAATCAAGCGATATAGAAGCTGCTGCAATGCTGGGAGCTGCTCTAATAGTTCTTCACCATTTAAGTGCCTTGTTCTGCTATGCACCTGATGCAAATTCAAATCATGCGATATGAAACGAACAAATCATGCAGAAAAAAGGAACAAAAATACACAAACCTTGGAAATTCCAGGTGAGGTTTTGGTCAATCTCTCTGCCTCGATATCATACTTCAAAGTCCTAAAACACTCGAGTCTTTCCTCCAGAAAAAGTCCATAAGTCCTTACCCAGGCAGAGCAATCCCAAGCTGTGATAAGCAACAATAATGCTGTAATACGGTCCAAAATCAGGAAAATTGATGATGTTAAAAGGATTAATTACCAAGTGTACTCGAGTCATCTTTAAAGTTGGATATTTGGAAAATATGCCCTCTGTGAGAGAAGTGCAGCAATTCCTCTTTAAAAGTAGGATCACCTTCTCTCAGAACTCTGTGAATAACTATCAGTGTCTTTAGGGCAACCTGAAACATTTTATCATTTCATTGAAATTAAAAAAGGTGAAAGAACAATTTATTGCATGACGCAATATCATTGATAAGCCACCATGTGAAATAGGATCCTCTTTCTTTTTTAAAATACTAGTTTTTGGGCGCACGTGTATCCCATACTAATTCGTACAAATGTTATAAGAATATCGGTGTGTGATGAGTTTCAGAAATTAAAGGGGGAAAATACAAGCTCAAAATTAATAAATGGTGAGCGTATGTGCTAAATTTTTATTATCATTGCAAGCACAATCATATCGAAAAACTAAAGTCGAATGAATTTGAAAAGTAATGTTCAAACGACTTAAAATATGCAGTTCTTACACTATATCAGGTTTTCAAATTGATTATATTTTTTTTTAAATGCCAACAACACATAGTTTAAATGTGAAGCCTTCTTTTTAAGAGACTTTTGCCTCCTCATTTTTATTCCCGCATACATATCAAGATATGTTATTGAATGAAAAAAAAAATTGTAGAAACTATATAAAATTCCATCAACGTATCCCTTTCTTAGGATGGCGAGTAAATCATTGTGTACACCTACACTTAGTAAGTAGTAGGTAGTAGTTATTTGTGATGGACATAATAGTGGCTGAAAGATTTAATTGATGTTTATAAATCGTGTACATGTACCCTTTGGCCATGGGAGAATCAAAACAATGATATAGAATCTTTGAAGAGTTTAAAGAGAGATCACAAAATCATAATGTAAATGACACAATAAAGTATTTATAGGAAAACTAATAAAATTTCGCAGCTTGCAAAATGTGACGTTGAAAAAATAAGAAACGACATCTTTTTCCCAATGCCTCACCATCCAAAATGATGTGAGGAGTGAAACCGAAATTGTGAAAATGTGGAGTCATGAAGTGAAGTCACGAAAAGCGAGATGTGGCCTATTGCAGGGTGAAACGTACAGAGAAACAATGAAAATAACCCAAAAGTAATCTATTGCAAAGTGAAGTGGAAAAATCAGTGGCTCTTTTGGGGAAAACGGATTTTCTTGACAAAAACAAGAGAAATGTGATACAATGCTTAGAAAATAGATATGCATTTTTATAGAATGAAATAAAAATTGCTACTGCAAAAATATTTTTACTATTGAGTAATACTTAAGAAAATTAATTTATAGCTTGCAGCTTGCTACTACCATGGACGATGAAAAAACTTAATTGAAATATAACTGAACAATAATTAAGAAAATTTACAGCTGAGACGCAATATGAGTGCCTTCAGCCTAATTAGATTCATTGCATTAGTTGACTGGAGCAGCAAACAACTATTTGATTCATTCGGCTAACTTCTAAAATAATAAAAAAAAAATAATTAATTGAAGGTTTATTATTTTTCTTCAAGGACAAAATGGTAACTCAAATTTTTGAATTGTAAAAAACTTTGAAAATAGGAGCCTCCTACCTGTTCAATAATTGTAGCTACTCCGAAAAGGAGAACAATCAGAATCGGGTAGAAGTTATTCAAATATTGAAAAAGAAAGTAAAACTAGCAAATGATTAAATGGGTCAGAAGACTTACTATCCAGTTGCGTGTCTTTGACAATCGTCTAGAGAGTGCATGAATGCAGTAGGCAACGTCTGCTCGTGGACGTGTAACCGATGTTGCAGCAAATATCACTAAGGAAAACAAACTAAATGAACATCCAGATTTGATGAAAAGAAAAAAAAAATACAATTATTATTGAAGGGACTGTCTGAACAGAATATACTAGATTATACCAATATTCTTCAATACCACAAAATTATATAATAAACAAAAGACTTGAAATGTGAGAAACCAAAGCATTCTGATACGTCGATGAAATTCATGTACGTATATCTTAAACAATCAAAAGAACAAAAATTAATCTGCAAACTCACTTGCAACATGCCTTTCTTTTGGAGCGCTTTCAACGTGGTTTGTTGCCTTTACAATAGCGATATCCAAATCCTTAATAAAAACAAAAAAATAGAATATATTCCATCCATCAAGAAATGTGTATTAATTAATTAGACAAATTGATTCTAATTAAAGGAGAAATTAAAATGCAGACCTTAAATTCGCTGTTGACCTTGGCTAGGCCAACCTTGGTTGAATCTTTAAGTGCTCCATATGCTTTTCTAAAGCTCTCCATTCGAAATGTAAACCCCCAGAAATTATTTCTTGTTCTGGAAAATCAGAATCTCTTGCTGGATCAAATGTCGTAGAAATAAAAGAGAGAGAAGAAGGTTGATCTANCCCTTCTCTCTCTAAATATATATTTTTTTCGTTGAACTTTCATTTAGAAAAGAAAGAAAGATGATTCTAGTCTTTTTTATTTCTAGTATATTTTTAAATGGAAGCGGCATAAAAGGGACAGTTGTAGAGGTGGGCGTTCGGTCGGTTCGGTTCGGTTTGAATAAATTCGGTTCGGTTATTTGGTTTTCGGTTTTGTAAATATGATAACCGAAACCGAACTGAAATAATTTCTGTTCAGTTCGGTTTTTAAATTTCAGTTCGGTTTATTTTGGGTCGGTTTTCGGTTTGAACATTATCATATTGAGCCGGCCTTATTCTGCTTAATAATTGGACTAATTTGTTGGTTGTTTCCAAAATTTTGGACTTTTTGAATGTGTTAAGTCATAAATCTGTTCTTTTTATTTACATAATCATAAACTATATGTAGGATAAGCCCATATATAACAAAGTTCAGTTATATAAAGTTCTTAATCATGAACACTAGGCCCAATTTTATAAAGTTCAGTGTAAGCCTGGATTTTTTGAACTGGGAATGAGATGACCGAAAAAGGAGCAATTTATTACATCAATTAAACATTGATTTCTCAATCTGGTAGGAGTTCCCTGTTACTCAAATCTGGTAACAAAAATCTGGTATGAGTTCCATGTTACTCAAATCATCCTAATAAAAAGAGACCTTACAATTAATGATGCTAACAAACATAAGTACATAACCAAAGGATGTTGCTAATTACACCTCTACTTGGTCCATACAAGATCCCACAATCATACAAAACAAATATAAACTAGGGAGTAGGGAGTAGTTAGTAGTTACAACCAAAAGAGCACTACATTACA